ACAGGCAGGCAGGCAGGCAGGCTGGCAGACAGGCAGGCAGGCTGGCTGGCAGGCTGGCAGGCAGGCAGGCAGGCAGATGGCGCGGCAGCGCGCTAACAAGGCAGGTGCTCACCAGTGTCGTGTAGAGCAGGCGCTCGCCGGGCGAGCAGGGCCGGCGCTCGGCGGGCGGCTGCACGGGGTCCAGGGGCGGCGTCGCGGGTCCAGGGGCGGCGTCGCGGGATCCAGGGGCGGCTGCACCAGGGGCGGCTGCTCTGGGTCCAGGGGCGGCTGCACCAGGGGCGGCTGCTTCAGGGGCCAGGGGCGGCTTCTCTGGGTCCAGGGGCGGCTGCTCGAGGGGCGGCTGCTGCAGGGGCCAGGGGCGGCTGCTCTGGGTCCAGGGGCGGCTGCTCGAGGGTCCAGGGGCGGCTGCACCAGGGGCGGCTGCTTCAGGGGCCAGGGGCGGCTGCTCGGGGTCCAGGGGCGGCCGCTCGAGGGGCGGCTGCTGCAGGGGCCAGGGGCGGCTGCTCTGGGTCCAGGGGCGGCTGCTCGAGGGTCCAGGGGCGGCTGCACCAGGGGCGGCTGCTTCAGGGGCCAGGGGCGGCTGCTCTGGGTCCAGGGGCGGCTGCTTGAGGGGCGGCTGCTGCAGGGGCCAGGGGCGGCTGCTCTGGGTCCAGGGGCGGCTGCTCGAGGGTCCAGGGGCGGCTGCACCAGGGGCGGCTGCTTCAGGGGCCAGGGGCGGCTGCTCTGGGTCCAGGGGCGGCTGCTCGAGGGGCGGCTGCTGCAGGGGCCAGGGGCGGCTGCTCTGGGTCCAGGGGCGGCTGCTCGAGGGTCCAGGGGCGGCTGCACCAGGGGCGGCTGCTTCAGGGGCCAGGGGCGGCTGCTCTGGGTCCAGGGGCGGCTGCTCGAGGGGCGGCTGCTGCAGGGGCCAGGGGCGGCTGCTCTGGGTCCAGGGGCGGCTGCTCCAGGGTCCAGGGGCGGCTGCACCAGGGGCGGCTGCTTCAGGGGCCAGGGGCGGCTGCTCTGGGTTCAGGGGCGGCTGCGTTAGGGGGGGGGGGGGGGGGGGCCAGGGGCGGCTGCTGCAGGGGCGGCTGCTCCAGGGGCCAGAGGCGGCTGCTGCAGGGGCGGCTGCAGCAAGTAGCAGCAGCGGCAGCAAGTAGAAGCAGTGGTAGAGCAGCAACACAGGCGCAGTGCAGCGTGTAGGCCTGGCGTGGGCTGTACTGGCCGCGCGCGGGCCTGACGAGGCCTGTACGGGCTGCGCGAATGTCTAGCGCGGACTGTACGGGCCGCTCTCGGGCCTGACTTGGCCTGTACGGGTTGCGCTAATGCCTAGCGCTGACTGTACGGGCCGCGCGCTGGCCTAACGTAGGCTATACGGGCCGCGCGCGGGCGTGGCGCGGGCTGTACGGGCGGCGCGAAGGCCAGGCGGGGGCTGTACGGGCTGCTCGCTGGCTACGCGCGACAGGACAGGGCAGGGCCGCGGGGCAGCGAAAATCGATGCACCTAAGGGCGCATTTCGGGCAGAAAAAAGCAGAGAACGAGATTCGGGCAGGAACACGGAAGGTTTAACGGTGGGCCCTAAAAAAAAAAATCGTCCTAGGCTAGGAACGTCCTAGCTCTTAATACCATGTCATAATCTTACGGGAAAATTGTGTGTGGACTATCGAAGGGAAAAGATACAAAGGAGAAACCTAAGGGGTTGTACCCCACAGTGAGTACCCCACTAAGCCTAACCAAACTATAACAAATATACACATATGTTTGACACAGTCAGGGCGGCGCGCGAGCACTAGGGAAGCGCGCAGGGCAGGGCGAGGCGGCGCACGGCTAGGGAAGGGCAGTGCAAATGGCAGGGCAGGGCGGCGGCCAGCAGGGCGGCGCACGGGCAGGGCAGGGCGGTGCGGCGGCTAGCAGGGCGGCGCGCGGGCAGGGCAGGGCGGCACGGCGGCCAGCAGGGCGGCGCGCGGGTAGGGCAGGGCGACGCGCAGGCAGGGCGACGCGCAGGCAGGGCAGGGCGGCGCGGCTGCCAGCAGTGCGGTGGGCGGGCAGGGCAGGGCGACGCGCAGGCAGAGCAGGGCGGCGCGGCGGCCAGCAGGGCAGCGAGCGGGCAGGGCAGGGCGACGCGGCGGCCAGCAGGGCGACGCGACAGGCAGGGGAGGGCGGCGCGCTACCGGCAGGGCGGTGCGCTACCGGCAGGTCAGGGCGGCGCGCGACTGGCAGGGCGGCGCGACGGGCAGGGCAAGGCAGCGTTCTGCCTGCAGGGCGGCGTGACGGGCAGGGCAGGGCAGCGTACGGCCAGCAGGGCGGCGCGACGGGCAGGGCAGGGCAGCGCGACTAGTGGGGCAGCGCTACGAGCAGGGAACTATGCGATGGGCCCTAAAAAAAAAAAGTTTTGGAACAGGACCTTTTCTGAAACCATGTCAGAATACTGAACGAGAATGAATGCATTGAGCAGAAAGTTGGTACAAGTACTAACCCTAATTGGGTTGTACCCCTTATGGGCTACCCCACTACAGCCTACACAATATAAGCAGTATAACATTTTGACATAGAAAGCACCTTGTAGAGTTCTCTTACAGTTGAAATTTCAGATGTCTAGGTTGTGGAGATGTTGTGGTGATGTTCCTGCAGGTGAAATTGTAGATGTCTAGGTGCTGGCGCAGTACTTCTGTAGTTCCTGTAAGTTCACCTGTATGGAATGTAAGCAAAATTAGTGGTTCTTCCGCCCATAGCACCCCCCGGGTCTTATAGAGAATCAGCCAAAAAGGGGGGTATAGTACAAACTAGGTTTCCCATAGCACCCACCTTGCACCAGCTACCCGGGGGGTGTACAATTTCGACGGGTGTTATGTCCGGGAGAATACAGTACCATAGGACCACTGTGTGACTAGCTTGTGTTGGAAAGAGCTTGCCAGAGCTCACTTCCACATTGATTGATTGTCTTCCCCCAATCACACTTCAATGCGAACGGGTCTACTCAGTGTCCGGCAGTCACAGCGTGCTGAGTCGCTCGCATTGTACAGCTCACGTTATACATAACTTCCTTATCTACGATGACTCCGTCAGAGCGTCCTTGACATCCTCTGCAACATCCTCCACAAATGACTTGAGGGCTGCAAGCTCACGGTCACCCTCGTAGTTCTCGCGGAACTTGCCACCCACAAAGAGCTTCAGAGTGGGATATCCACGAATCTGTCACGTAGACACAGGTTATAACGGAGAGAACACGGTTAAGTACTTACTACTAGGCACATGTAAAAAAGTGAAGGAACAATGTCGCCGCATACCTCCTGCTCCTCGCAGACTTTAGTGGAGACGGTGCAGTCTACGTGTGCAACCACCACCTCCGGCGGAGAGGAGTTGGACAACTCCTCCCAGGCAGGAGCGAGACGCTTGCTGAAAGGGAGGAACGGAAGGAAACGCGTAGAAAGAAATAAACATTGGAAACGACAAAGGCATGCCAGTTATTCGAAACGATCTAGTTGAAAATCCAGAGGGAAATCCGGAGATGAAGCTTACCAGTGGCCGCACCATGGCGCGAAGTACTTGATAAAATAGGCTTTGCTCTTGTCCTCAAGCTGCACAGAGCGATAAGCGAAGCATAAGCTCATCCGTGGAGAAAAGTTTGACATGTGTCACAACGGTCGCATTCTCGCTGACACGAATGTCGCCGAAAAGCTAATAGCTCCTTCTCACCGTGCTCTTGTAGTTGTTGTCGTTGAGGACCAGAACGTTTGCTGTTGCCACAGATATGGTGGCAATCAGAAGGCACGCCAAAAGCGAGAAACAAGCTGAACGGGACGCCATGGTGGAAACGAGCAAATTGCGGTGACGAGAAATTTGCAAATCTGAAGGCATGAAATTGCTGGCTGCAAGGATTGCTGCATGTGATCACATCATATCCTACCTTGGACTCGCGTGCCTGGGCAAGGCAGGCAGTATTTGCATTGTAGAGTGTACAGTAGATCTAAATGTACAGTTTGTAAAAGGCTTCACATTGTGCATTGTGCATTCACATTAGCGGAACATTTGCAGCGCGGACATAATTTAGCTCAGTCACTCACTGCATGCTCGAGATCACTCCCTACCAACACACAGCCTTCACTTCAGCCATGGCGTCTCAGCGGGTTCCACGGCGAGCTGTTCAGACCCTTCTCCAGCGTCTGGGCCAAACAGCACATCCCTCAACCGTCGTTTCCTCTTCTTCGTTCTCAGCGCTCGCTAATCTGCCTACTCCAGTTCTGTCCGGCTCCACGTGCTCCGTCCCCCAAGCATCGGCCAGTTTTTCCGCGTTCTGTGCAAAAGCTTTATCCAGCAGTTTGCTCGTTCGCAGATCGGCACATTCACTTGCGGTCGCGCGAAGTCCACACCGTCGCTTACTGACTCTATCGCGCGCGTCGTTTTCGTCTGAGACACGCCTGGCTACTTCCAACCCCGTTACAGCTACTCAAGGCGCTTATCATGTTGCGACTGATCCAGATCGGCTTCAGGACGTGAAACATTCACAACCGCCGGACGTGGAGAAATCCCCTCCTCAGCATCTGAATAATGCTCAGCAGCAGGATCCGAAGCTCGATGAGACCCAATCTTTGCCGGAGAATCCGAAGCCAGCTCAGCCACACGATGAGAAGCAATCTTTGCCGCAGGATCCGAGGCAAGCTCATCCACCCGACGCGAAGCAATATCTGTCGCAGGATGCGAAGCAAGCGACGAAAGCTTATAGCAGTACCAGTGGCGGGAGCCGTCGGTTAGCGAAAAGCTTTGCGCGGGAAGCCGATCTGCCAGATGTCACCCAGGTATTGGACGATCTGGTCCACAGGCTTCTCGTCCTGCCGGAGAATCTAGCCAAAGATTCGGTCGGATCCAGATCAACTGCGGTCGACGGCACGGATGGCGATGGGAAGGAGCCTTTACCCGCTTTGGAAGGGGGACACTCAAGTGCGGGGCCTACTGCACTCGCTGTCAACCATACCAGTAGCGCTACCAACACCAGCAGCGGCGAGATAGATACGAATACGGCAGCCATGGAGAAGTTCGCGTCGGAGAACGAGCGATCGCTTACCGCTCTCCTACGCTTCCTCAACTCCCTTGCTCCGCACAATGTCGAGCACCCGGCAGCCGGGACCCTGGATCTGACTTTCCACATTAGGTCTAGAGAAGAGATCCAGGACCAGAAGGAAGGAGTCGAGGAAAGTGCTGATTCGCAGAAAGAAGGGGGAGGAGAGGTAGCTGGTGGTGGAAAGAATGAAGGATTAGAGAAGCTGCGGAAGGTGCAGCTTAGGATAAGGACGACTGGTGGTAACTGCAAGGATTTGGTGGGGAGGCAACTATCAGCCTTCTTCCAAGGTGGGTAGAAAGGAGTAGATGATAACATGGACAGAGGGATTGTTTTTGTTCCTTCATGCCGCTAGGTGATCCCGTATCTCTCGTTTCCTTCTCTTCTTTCCAGTCCCATTCCAGTCGCATTTCCTTTCCATCCTTACCGCCCAGATCATTCCCATTGTTGTCGTCGTCCCCACACCCGTTAGTGTGACCCTCATCTGCGCCTTCTTGGCCTTTTCCCCTATCCTTTCCCCTGTGGTGCCTCGCTTCACTTTATTCCAGACTGTGGAGTGTCTTCTGAGTTCCTGTGGCCCAAGGGTTACTGGGACCTGCTCTCTCCTGCTGCCATTGCACATGAACTTGCGAAAGAGGACGCCAAAGCTGCTGCTGCCTCAGCAGAAGTAGCTGCAATTCAGCAGCAGCAGAAGCAGGAGGCGAAGAAGAATCACCCGAGATTAGAAGCAGAGTTGGATGCAATAAACGGGGCATTAGAAGCGATAGCATCGGTACCGTGGCATGAGGCTCTGGAGGACAAAAAGAGAATAGAGAACCAGCTTCTGGCAGTGCTGGTTGCAGATGGATGGAAGGTGGGAGAGAGTGTGAAGCGCATGTGGGCTGGGGAAAGGGATGTGAGGAAGCTTTGTCTGGGGTTGGATGAAGGGAGCGCTAAGATGGTGGCTCGGGTGTTGGTGCATGTGCAGGGAAATGATAAGGAGCATGGGAAAATGGTGTATGTGGTGGAGGGGATGGAAGGGGAAAAGGAAATGAAGGATGGAGTTAGTGGTGATGAGAAGGGAGGGGAGGCTGTTGGGGAAGGACGTGGCAAGAAGGGGTCTCTCAAAATTGAAATCATTTGAGAGATGGTCGTGGATGAATCTTCTTCCTCCTGTACAAGGTGGTATTTCATCCATATTCTGTTATAATTCTAGGCTGTATCTGGTGTACTATGTAGCATCACGAATTTGCGTTTAATAGCCGCCGTCAACTTTAGGAGAATCATCAGTACAGTGTGCCGTCAGGTTTCAGCAACCATCTGACCTGAAGCATTGCATTCGACTCATCATCATGACATGTGTTACGAGTGCAATTGAGTGAGCGAGTGAGGATTGCACTATCGAGACAAGAATACAATGAGCGAAGGAATGAGCGAAGAATATATAGCAAAACTATGCTGGTAACGGTAACGTGGGAAAATGGGGTGCGAGACGGGCCTGATGCCGAGGTTTGGGGAACTGTCGAGGCGGAGGTCTGGAGCGCGGGTTACCAACCGAACCGTGTGGTTGGGTCGCATCGTGAACAGTGGCGGGAATGGTGTCGGGGCGAATGTCGCGAGTGGTAACGGGATATTGTGGGGTGCTGTCAGTGTTGTACGCGCTGAGCAGGGACGCGAAGTAAGGAAAATGAATTTTCCTTACACTACCCCCCCCCCTCAAGGAGGCCTCCCTTACGAGAGCGCGTGTATATCCCGGAAATTTCTGCTGCGCAAGTAGTCATTGAGGACGGGGTGGTTTTCGATTTTGTCCAGGGGAACCCAGTTGTCCTCGGTGGGTATGCGGTCTCTCCAGTGTATTAAAAATTCGACCCTTCAGGCTCCTCGTGGGTCACGAACTCGGTGGCTCAGAACCTTTTCGGGCGTGATGATTGGCTCGGTCGGTGGTCGGGTCATACTTGTTGGAAACAACTGATTTTTGCGCCTCTGTCGTGTCGAAACACCAAGACAGAAGCGAAGCAGATCGTATCGAAACATCGGTGAGTCAACCCTCGGAGGTTGAACAACTGCTGGAGGTTACGCGAAAGTCAAAGGTCAGCGACCTTTGACCTGACAAATGCAGCGCGACAGCAAGGACAAACAACTGTCTCGATACTGAGCAGTTGCCCGAGTCGACACTGTATCGAACCGCAACAGCAACAGTAAAACAGTTATTAACTGTATCTCTTCATATTCCTTTGTATTCTTATAAAAGCTTGTATCTCTTTTGTTATTATCAACTTACTTTGCCCTCACATACCAGCGCAAGGTGGTTCACAATCTTTTCATTAAACGCTTCCGCTATTACATCATCCTACCCTTGAGTTCTGTCCTGTAAAAGATCCTAAGGGCTTTCTCAGCCCAATATGGTATCAGAGCAGTCAGGACAAATTCAACTACAATCAAGACATCTACGACATCACAAGAAATGGCAACGCAGAAGGAGAGAAGCTCCTCTAACGGCTCTCCTGGCACTACCCCTACTCCACCTCCTGCCTCTGGCCTACAGACAGAGGAGGGTACGGCAACAAGACCAAGGGCATCGTCTTCGGAAACTCCCGCAAATCAAGCTGCGGCCTTCGATCCAGACATGATGGAGAAGTTCTTCTCCTTCATGTCCTTCTACGAACAGCACCAGCAAGGGGCACCTGCACAGTCAAACAACAGCAACAACAACGCAACACCGATGAGCCTCGACGGTTCATCCTACGCACGTGGAAACCAACAGCAACGGCCTACCTTTGCTCCGTATGAGCCCCAGCGTGGCTCCGTCAGTTTTATGCCACACCCGCAGCCTGCATCCGGACAAGAAAAGACACTGGATGCACTTCAAGTTCTGTCGCAGTTCGCGCACGTCTTAAAACTGCAAACGACAAGGCCTTTCGACGGAAAGGATTTCTTTACCTGGTCATTCGAGTTCGAGTTAATGATGGAAGGCGCGCAGATTCTTGGCTTCTTCGACGGGTCCCTACCATATCCAACACACGGCACACAGTACGACAAGCAGCAACACACGTATCAGTCAATGATGGCGTACACAATACTGCTGAGAAACATCACTCCAAGTCAGCAGCAGAATATACGGTCTTACCGAGGATACGGCAACTCTGCAGAGCTCGCGTACAACCACTTGAAGAACCTGTATCAAGCAACAGACAGCGTAAATCAAAGTCGGTTAATGGCGCAACTGACGACAGTCGAAATGAAACCAGGCGAAAAAGGGATGGCGTATATCAGCCGTTGTCGCGAATTGCGCGACAAACTCCTTCGATGCGGAGGGTCGATTTCAGAAGACGCCTTCGTCACAGTCATCATCGGCGGCCTCGGTCCTCAGTGGCGCTCCACCCGCGCCATACTCCGAGCGCATGGAAAGATATCAGAAGCAGCACTCTGCGCTGAGATCCACGCTGAACAGCAAGATATGGACCTGCAAGAGGAACAACACAAGAAGAAGGCATCAGTGCCCGAATTTGCATTCCACACTCAACGACGCTACAACAACAACAATCGGCATCAACCGAAATCAGTACCTCCGTTCTGTCACCTTTGCAAGATGTCAGGGCATCCTCGCCCACACTGCCCTAACCGACAACAGTCAGTACCAACGCAGCGACAACTTCGGCCTTCAAGCAGTCAAGTTGCCTCAACTCAAGCGAGTTCGACTTCTCAAATACTAGCCTCAACGACATCGACGGGACAACCTGCGCAAGGAACAAGAAACATCGTCAGTTGCATGACACGACTGACCGACTCCTGCATCACAGAGTCTCCACCACATTACTCACCGGGAGAACAACTCGACAACAGCACACCTCGCCGCGAGTCACTTCAACCAAATCCAACATACGCAGCCATCGCACAAAGCGAGCCATCCGGGAAGGATACGTGGTTCTTGGACAGTTGCTGTGGACAGCATATGTGCTCCTCAGGACGCTTTGTTCAACGTGAACACCAACTTCAACGTGAAGTCGTCATCACCGTCGCCAACAATCAGAACCTGCGCACACGACGACAAGGCGTAGTGCAACTTCAGTCACGAGAAACAAACGTCATACTGCAGATGTCAAAGGTTTTGATAGCAGAAGGACTCGGTTACAACCTACTGAGCGTCAGTCAGCTGATGGCGAAGGGCATACACCTCGAGGCAGACAGCACCACACAGGAGTTCAAGCTCTTCCACGGTCGAGGAGGACTCTACATCGGCAAAGCGGTCCTGAAAAACAATGTCTTCGTCCTCGACTTTGTTCCAGATCTCGGCACTGCCGACAGCGACAGGATTGTCACCTTCACCTCTTGGACACATCCACCGGATCTTGACCCCGACTTCAGTCCAGAAGGCTTCTGGTACTCGCACACCATCCCTGAAGCAGAACGAACAAGAGCACTAGCAACGATTCAACACTCGGCAGCAGCAGAAACAACAGAGGCAGCAGCAGAAACAACAGAGGCAGCAGCAGAAACAACATCGGCAGCAGCAGAAACATTGGCAACACCAACAACACTTACAACACCAGTCGCAAGTTCTTCAACGACATCGCCACACACCGACAATTCTTCACCGACTCCTGCGCAGCAACTAACTCCCATTCCTCGCGAAGTTCACCGAAGCGCCAACTTCACCGCCGCCTTTTACTCCAACTCCGACCTATATCGTCGTACACCCAGACATCGCGCCAGCGAAGACATCTGGCACGCACGAATGGGACACCCATGAGAAGATTTGAACAAGAATGAATGAACTATGAAATGAAGTGAGTACAAATATGAAACCCTAATTGGTTGTACCCCCTATGGGATACCCCACTATAGCCTACACAACAGCATAAGCTATAATGTTCTGACACACCCCCATAGGCAAAGTGGGGGAGAACAAGGGGTCACAAGACCAGTCAAGCAAAGTAAAGCAAAGCAAGCTCAGGGTGGATCACAAAGTCACCACACAGTCCGAGCACAGGGTTAAGGCCACACGGCCAGTTCACATGCAAGAGTACACACATATATATAAAGGTAGACAAGCAAGAGCAGGTATATATATATGTGAGAGTACAGGCAAGGTCAAGAGGAGAGCAAGTGAGGCAAGACGGGCACAAGACCCAGCTGAGTGCAGAAGCGCTGATGATCACAAGGTGGAAGTGCCTTGGTGAAGACATCAGCAGTGTTGGCCTCAGAGGCCACGTACGCAAGCCGCAACTGACCACGTTGCTGTAGCTCACGAGCAAGGAAGTAGCGGAGAGCAATGTGCTTTGTTCTGTGCTCCAGTCGCTGCTCTCGACACAAGGCCAGCATGGCCTTGTTGTCTACGTACAGGACTGGAGGAGAACGAGGCGGCTCTCCAAGGTCGGTCAGCAGGTAGGTGAGCCAGCGAAGCTCCTGTGCAGCCATGGCCCCGGCGTAGATCTCAGCCTCACAACTCGAGCCAAGAACAGAAGACGAGCGAGTAGCCCGCCACGAAACAGAGCCGGAACCAAGGCTGAAGGTGTAACCCTGTGACGACCGCTGCGTAGCCTGGTCGTCAGCCCAAGAAGCGTCCGCGTGCCCAGTGAGGACCACTGGACTCCGCCCTCCAAGCACTAGCCCCATGCCCGACGTACTGCACAAGTAGCGCAACACCCTCTTCGCTGCAGCCATGTGCTCTGGTCTGTGTCTCCCAGGAGCAACATAGCGTGCCAGAATGCTAAGAGGGTATGCAAGGTCAGGTCGTGTGCAGGTCATCAGGTACATGAGGCAGCCAACAAGCTCTGGGTACGGGCCACTCGACTCTACGGACTCATCCGAAGGCAGAGCTGAGAGCGAGTGGCGAGTAGACAGAGGAGTGGCCTGAGGCGAGGAGTACGTGAAGCCGAAGCGCTGAAGGACCTGCTGCACCATGTGTGACTGAGTCAGGGTAATGGTGCGGCGTGCTCTGTCCCGGGTGATCTGCAAGCCAAGGTAGCTGCGCAGTTCACCTAGGTCTGTGCACGTGTGTCTCTTCTGCAGCTCGGACTTCACGTAGGCGAGTCCAGCAGTGTCAGCTGTGGCAAAGACCAAGTCGTCGACGTACAAGAGGATGTAGAACGGCGGCAGAGAGGTGTCGGTGCGTAGAAACAGCGACGGGTCGGCAGTAGAAGG